CTTTATTGACGCATCATTTGTCACAAAACGCCTTATACGTTATGCATCACGAACATATGTTACGCATCATGACACCAACAACAAATTATTCATGATAATCCTTCATTAATGATAAAGCTGTAATAATGTATACATTAATTACATTTAAATAGGTTGTTTAGATTAGAAGATGTAACAAATGTTTGACTTTATAGAACAAAATGGATTTTTTTCTACTACACATTATGCTGATTATTCTATGATATATTGCGTGTTTCTATATCTGTTTGGATGATATACAAATATCATCTTTTTATATACCTTAACAATGAAAATTTATAGCCAAAAGTAGTGGTGATGTATCAGTTGATGATGATGGATTACTTGGAAGATATTTTTTAAAAATAAGTAAAATATAAATAAAATATATTTAAAAAATTTTAAAATAAATAACTTATAAATATAAAAATTGATCGAACATTTTTTAAATTTAAAATATTAATTTTTAAAGATTACTTTTGTCTCTTTTATTTGCTTGTATTTTCGAGCTTACGTCGGAAATTTTATTGATAACGTAAACATTTTAATCTTTTTTTTCTGTTTTTAATCTTTCTGTAAGTGGATTTTTAAATATATTTTAAGTGTTTCTTTCAAGAACATGTGTGGGCGACGGAATTAATAATTTTTTAAAGTTGTTTTCATTTTAGAATTTTCTATCCCTTCTTTCCCTCCTCCAAATAAATGAATAATAATTTTAAAAATAAGTCAGAAAAAATAGAATTTTTTAGTGATTAAATATGTAATTTTAAGTTTCTTATAGTAAAATCAAATCTGCATATATAAAGTGATAGAAAATTGAAAAATCTAATTAATGACTAACGAAATTTTTTACATTTTTTTTTTAATTTTACGAGGAAAGCTCGTAAAAGTAATAGTATAAACGAAAAAGTAATTTTAAAAGTAAAATACAAATAAATTCGGCTAATTTCTTGAATCTAATTGTTTATATAGGCAAGTAAGAAATTAGTGACAATTAGATTTATGAGAAAACACACATAAGTAGACTTATACTTTAGTCATATCGTTTAGAATTTTAATAATTATATTTCGCCTTCAACAAAAAACTTTATATATTGCATTGTTAATTAATTTTAGTGTAACACACATAAAGAATAAAAAATAAAGTAATTAAATATGTAAAATATAAATTATCAGTTCGAAAGATGAGCTGTTCTTTCTCGACAAATACATTTCTTTTTATTTAATTTGTATAAAACTTGGATATTTTATAGAATATCTAACTTTTTTCAAGCTCGATCTTATCCATGTTTTATTTTCTATTTATATCCAAATATTGAATAAAATAATATTCAGTAATATTGAATAAAATAAGAATTCAAAGTTATTTATCTGAAACTTTTAAAACCATTTTTCGTATTGTATAAATTATATACGTTTCAAGAATTGAAAAAAATAAAATTTTGTTTCTGTAGTCGAACTTCAAAGAAATTGATCTGCCCATCTCTTAGCGATCTACTAATGGGTCTTTTATCCTCTGGTCTGAATTTCATGGATAAGTTTATCTACTTCTACTCATGGATAGGTTATTGGATATCTTCTCGGACTCGGTTATTTCCTCATGTTACTGCTCCATTCATCCAGTTGTGAAATCATCGAAACTTTTGCATTTTCTTTGCTTAAATTCCAATTTGTTGGACCAGAATATATATCTTTGTTTGTCTGATTCCTGTCCTTTTGAAATTTCCGGATGTGAAATATTTTTATTAGATCCAGTATCACATACTTCTTGAAACTTTCTGCAGAAAGACTTACGTGTATCAAAATATTTTTGAAAAAATTACAATTGTGTAAGTTACATAAAGAAACTATAAAGCTAGAGATAAATATTTTGCCACACTCTTAAACATATTCTTGGATATATTGAAAATAGGTTTCGGCAGTAACTATTTTCTTAAAATATTCTTAAAAATATTTCAAACAAATAATAAGAATAATGTTTTTATTCTAAATTGAAAATTATTTTCAAATATTTTATGATACTTAATTAATTATTTAATTTTAGTTATTGAATGCTTTATATGTTAAAATTTAATATTTAATTATATAAACTTTATTCTTTTAAATTGCTAAAGTTTAAAAACATTAATTTAATTTCCGTTATTGATGCAACAATGGAGAAATGTAACGTCATAAAGTTGTAATAAGTCACATTCCTTCACTAATGATGTGAAAGATTATTGAAGAAGACAGATAACGTTAATAGAAAATTCAGTTACATTACACAATTAATCAATGTGTATTATCTAATAAGAAAATATATTACATTCTTTTTACTAGACCTGTATTATGTAAAGATCTTAAAATACTTAAAAATAGATTTTTTTTCTTTTTTTATAAGAACGATTCATGGCGATGCCCAATAAGTAAAATTAGTCACCCCCAGATTTATGAATCAATAACATAGTTTTCTCATTATATTTATATAATATATTATTTTATGAAATAATAATTACTTTATATATTAACCTGCATTAATATTCTACATTAACAATAATGTAGAATATTGTAATATTTAAAACGAATTTTTTTATTAAAATAAATTTTTAAAATCATCTATATCAAGTATTTTTATAATCAACTATATTTTAAACTGTTTTTTAATTCGTAGCGTGAGAAATTAAAATTCTTTGTATTATGAGAAAAACAAATGTCAAACGTTATTACATGTTATATAATTTCTTTAGTTGCTGTCAATTCATTTTAAAAACTTCATCTCGTATTCTCAGTGTCTTTCTTTCATATTTCTTATTATTAATGATTAAGATAGTAAAATTATCACCATCCTCATCACTATTATATTTTGTCAATGATAATAACAATCTTAAGAGTAAAAATTTCAATAAGAATTCAATATAAACTTATTTCTTAAACAATTTGAAGTAAATATTAATAAAAATTGTTTGACATTATTAAAAAAAAACCATCTTTCTACTATTTATATAAAGATAAGTTATGTATAAATGTACTGTACAGTACAAGTTAAATTTACTTAAGTCATACATTTGTGTAGAGTTTTTATAATTATTCACAGAAAAATTATTATTCAAAACTTGTTAATGCCACTCTTTAAGCTTGAAATGCACATAAAGGATAGGAATAGTCAATGATAAAATCGTTATTTGCTACTTTTCCAAACTGCATTTAATCTGAAATATGATGACAAAAATCAAAGGCAAAGTTATTAATAAAATACGTAATTTAATGAATAATAATAATAAGTGATTGAAATTATCGTTTATTAACCTTATTGATCAAAAACTAAAATTTAACATATAGCATATAAAGCGAATTCTTTATCAATTAGACATTTATTCTATTTATATAAAGTTTTAAATTAGTTTACAATAATTAATTATCTAGAAAGACTTTGACATTTATAAAATATTAAATTAATTGATTGAAAAAGATTTAAAATGGCATCCGGATTTCCAGTTTAAAATTAATTAAAATCTATTACAGGAACATCACAATAATAATTTATTGACGAATTAAACTTTGAGTTATGAATTAGCCAATAAAATCGTCTTCTTATTTCAAAATAAACCTATAAAGGAAGAAATAAAAAATAACGCGAATACTTTATTCTTTTATAGGTTGGTTAATTCTGACGTCAATTTTATTCGTTCTCTGATTAGTTAGCCAATTAAATTAGTCAGTAAGCGTTACATCATTTATATTTAAAAATTATCACCAATGAAATGGAGATCGATGAGTGACGTTTGATATAATATATTCTTGGTTTAGAGGAGAAACTACTTTTTTCGAAAATGTTGTTTTTGTTAATCTGCTGTTTTAATTAAAACAAGATAGAGTTTAATTAATGAGTTTCCGTTACCAAGAGAATTGAATAAAGTCAATAATACCCGAAATAATCTTATTTAATGCTGAATATGATTATTTTTGTATTAAAAATATTAACAGAAAATCTTCTGAAGTTATTTATTACATTTTACCTAGTTTTCATTAAAAATTTGAAAATTGTTAATGAAAGGTATTTTAGCTCTTCCTTTGAAATTCAATGTATAGCATTTTATTTCTGTAATAGTAAAAAAATTGCACATTGATTATACAGAACAGTCATCCTTAAGGATATTTTTCTTCGTATAAGCTGTCGAGGGAACTGTACGAGTTAACTAGGTAACAACGTGGGAATAAATGTCGTCAATACTTATTATCCAGATGCTGAGGAAGTTATCATAATACTAACTGTGATTCCACTGAGGATTCTTGTTTTTATAAATGATTATTTTATCTAAGCAACCGTTCTTCCATTTTTCTAATATAGATTCTCTGTTCTATACACAAAAATATACGAATACTCATTTTAGTTTTAACTTTACGCTTTTATGTACAGTACACAAAAAATGCTAATATGTATTTAAAAACATATATTCACTTTCTTCAGCATAAATTTTTCGCTTTTCTCCTTGCTTAGAATATTCTTTGGAAGTAAAATAAGTAATTTTCTAGGATCTCTAAAGCCTAATATATTAGTTTCGTATTGAAAATAACGTTATAAAGTTGTCATTTACAAGTGGGAAAAAACTATTTCAGTTTGAAAATAATATAATAACTTACGTAAACAATTAATACAAATTTATCATTGAAAAAACTGTTTGTAATATCATGCAAAGTATAATGAGTACCTAAATGGTTTGATTATATATATATATATATATTTCAATATATATCATATTGAAAATGATATATATATATATATATCTCCAATTCTTTCAAATTAAATTAAATTCCAAAATTTTGTTAGCAATTTTTAAAATATAATTTAAGGTAATTTTATTACAAACTTTTCTACTTTTATGCTACTTCAAACACTTAAATTAATAATCCTATGCTGAAATTTTTATTATTTTGTTTGTAATCTCTATACAATGAGATAACGTATTCTATAACTGGATAATTGCTTTTTTTTCTTGCACTTAACAGAAATACTTTCATTAAAGTATAATTATTAACTTTTAAAGTGTTATTTATTCCTATATGAATCTATACAAATCTTTTTCCTTCATTTTTTCTAGGTGAAGGTAGTAGGCAATATTCTCAGAATTGTTTTTCATTTGATTTATTCTGCATATTGTTGTCTTGTTGATTCTTGGAATACGATAAATGAAATCAAAACTATCTTCCACAGCTTTAATGTAGATATAGTCATTTGAATCCAAATCCTTTCAAAAAAATTAATTAATTAATTAATACTGAGAAAATGCAAATTAATTATTTAAATTTTGATTTCTAAAAATTATGTAAGAATACAGAAGAGAAGTTAGAATTATTTAATTTAGAATATTCTTTAACTGTATTAGGTGCTATAAGAATTTCTTTTCGTTCGCTTGTATTTATTTCGTCTGTAAATTAAAAAAAAAGTAAATAAATTCAATATTATATTAATATATTATAAAGCAAACTAAGTAGAAAGATTGATTGCAGAATATAGTCCATGCCCAGTTATTATCTACCAATTATCATTGAATCATTTTCATCGAAATCAAAGACTTGATTCACGAAACACGAAGCAGCTCTTGGATCTTCGTCCATAATTTGAATATACATATTGATTTCTCTATCTAGAATAATGGATCTGTTTATATTATACAGCGTAACTGAAGATAAAGACTATTATTGCTAAATATTACACCTTTATTTTCCAATTATCATCGTGTTTCCATTGTCATTGTAAAAGGCTTGATTTATGAAATAATTAGAGACGTTTAAATCTGGGTCTTTAAGTACAAGACCTGTATTGATTTCTCTATCTAGAATAGAATTATCTGTTTATATTGTATAATATAACTAACTATATAGAATCTATGACTGCTAAATATCATGATTTTGTATACCAATTGTCATTAACTTGCTATCGTTATAATCGAAAGTTTGATTTAGAGAACAATTAGAAGCATTTGAATCTGCATCTTTAATTTGTTGTTCTTCGCTTTCTCCGTGTAGAATATTGGCACTGTTTATATTAGTAAATTGAAATATATATTTGTTAAAATATTTTCTGTCTTCTAAATTTGAAAATAGGCAACGTGACTTCGCAGTAACTGGGTAATGTTCTGTAAGAAAGAATGAAATCATCGTTTTCCTCTTTTGCACTTCTTTCAGTTTCAGAATATTTCTCTAGATAAAATTTTTTAAAAAGCTCAAAATTTAACTATCATTAGTAAGATATCTTAAAGATTTGTAAGATAACAGTTAGCCTATTTAAAATAAATTTAAAATTAGATAAATCTTGATATGAAATATTTTCTGATAAAATCGNTATATTTAAAATGTTTAAACTATTCTTTGTAATTTTGTTAAGATTCTACTATTATGTATTTTAATTCAATAAAAAATCAATTGTTTTTTTTATAGATTTAACATTTTTTGGTTCGACTTATAAGAACTGGAAAACGAAATTAAATATATAACGATTTCTATCGATCTGATTGGCTGATTGATTATCATTGCTTCAACCAATCAGGTTAAATCATTTTAAAATTTAAATCATTTTAAGTCAAATATAATTTTATTTTCAAATTTGTATGCCCAAAAAAAACTTTACACAATTAAATTTGCTTACATTACTTTATGCTCTTTCCTTAAACGAAAAGAAAAAAGAGAAATAAAATAAAAATTTTAAATTACTTTTTCTTTAAAGTTGTTCCAGATTGGTTTTAGAACCGGAAAAAGTATTGCAACAATGAAAAAAAAATTGAATTTCTTTTTTGTAAACTTAAAAGATTTCATAAGATATTTTGAAAATTTTCAAAAACATACGAGATTTTTTCTCTTATTCGTATGAGGCAAAAAAAACATCTTTAAAGTGATGGAAAAAATATCATTCAACTGGTTTAAATCTGTTATATGGGTCGAAAATCCTTCAAAACTGCAATCTGTTTGGCACGTTTTGCACAATCACAAGGCGAGAACGTATATCAAAAATTGAAAAGGATGCCAAAAATTATTATTAATCAAGTCCCCACAGTGTCAATACTTTATTGACGCATCATTTGTCACAAAACGCCTTATACGTTATGCATCACGAACATATGTTACGCATCATGACACCAACAACAAATTATTCATGATAATCCTTCATTAATGATAAAGCTGTAATAATGTATACATTAATTACATTTAAATAGGTTGTTTAGATTAGAAGATGTAACAAATGTTTGACTTTATAGAACAAAATGGATTTTTTTCTACTACACATTATGCTGATTATTCTATGATATATTGCGTGTTTCTATATCTGTTTGGATGATATACAAATATCATCTTTTTATATACCTTAACAATGAAAATTTATAGCCAAAAGTAGTGGTGATGTATCAGTTGATGATGATGGATTACTTGGAAGATATTTTTTAAAAATAAGTAAAATATAAATAAAATATATTTAAAAAATT